GTTTCTACGTTACTCGCGGATGACGCTTGCATTCCACGTAGCTGTCATAACCGACGTAAGGTACGAGCTCATCATAATAAAAACTAGTCTGAACGATCGAGTCACTCCACGCTAAAATAGACGTAATCCAGTTTAAAAGAACGGGAGAAAGATAGCGTAGCGCATTTCATCCGCGAGACCACCAAGTTCCGCGTGTAACACCCACGCGTCTGTCGAAAAAAAAATCTTGCTATATGCTTGCACGTGACAAGATGTATTCTCGTGGTGGACCATGGATTCGCATGCATCAACGTACCACGTCGTGTTATACTTTCGAAAAAGGGCGAGACTCCCTTACGTCGATGACATGTAAATAACATTGCGCATCGTCCTCGATGAAATTAATCGCATGAATGCATCAATGCCTCGAGGCGAGAGGCAATCAATCGATTAGTAGTGGTACCGATGCCGATGCCGACGCGGACAAATTTGCATTCTGTCGCCATCGACACGGCACGGAAATGGGAGCCGAAAGAACAGCTAGGAGAAAGAGGAGCGGAAGAGGGACGTGGTAAAATATTTAAGGCGCAGTCACCTTGTTAGCGCCTCCCCGGCTCGGGAGAGGATGTGATTTGAGGGTGAGTGATTGACAGCGCTTGCAGTTTGTGCATTAGGGGTGCGAAAGTGACGGCGGGACGGACCGACGGAAGCGGAAGATAATGGAACACTGTTCGCATCACAGCGATGTCATAAATCGGGAGACGTAGCGGGCGCGTTCGTCCCATGTAAATCATGTTTTATATGCTAAACCAGAATTATATACATTGCAGTGACATACACGTGTGTACTTGTCAGCATACATGTACGTACAGCGAATTCTGTTTTTTTTTCATTACACGTATTTCATTCTCCTCCTTCCGTACGTGCGAAAATCTGTTTTTACATTCAGCTCAACATTCCGTTTCGCAGGGATACCGTATAAATCTGTCAAGGTAGATCAGCTGAAAATCATATATAACGTTCCTGTACGTGAAAGAAGGTAAATATCGACCCGAGAACAGAGAAAACCTTTCCGTGCTATTGAATAATCCGTACGGTCGTAAAATATGACTCCTACGTATGCGCGAAATATGCTTAAGAAAATCGGGGAAATCGCTTGCTCGAAACGCGCCCGTCAAACTCGGCGAAGGGGAAAGACGCGTATTTGGCACGTGGTGCCAAATTTTGCTCGGTCCCGCGATCGCATAGAAGCCGGGCACGCTAAACCGCGCCGTGGCCACGCCGTGGACAATGAATTTCAGACGCTCCGTTGACGCACTCTGCACGAGTATTTCATGACTGACTATGCCCGGACGTGAGACATATTGCCGTTCTCGACCGGTGAATTTCAATGCAGATTTTATGTTCGCGCGCGGTAGACACGCATCAGCGATTTTCGAAAAGCGCATCAGATATCGGTCAGCCGAGCTCGACGAGCGAGTTCTGCCACAGAGGGGAGAGGGGGAGGAGAGAGAGAGAGAGAGAGAGAGAGAGAGAGAGAGAGAGAGAGAGAGAGATTCGAGAATCAATAATTCAACATGTTGAAAAATTGACGCATCTTTTTTGCATATTACAAAACCTCTCCTCTTTCCGCCCTGTCGCCTCCTGTCGCTATTTCTGCAATTTTTCGTGTGTATTGAGGAAATTATAATCCCGCCGGTCGCAGATGGACGGAAAAGGCAGAGCAGGGTGATTAAACGGCGGCAAGAGAAATATCCGCGAGAGAAAGTGTGTTCCTTTGTTCGCGCGGTAACGCGCGTTAATCGCTCGCGTGACGATTGCGAGACGGACCGTTAACGTAAAGCGTGAGCGCGCGGGCCGCACAGTCGCTTGATTAAATACGGCGAACGTGCCACTATTGTTCCCGCGTGGCCGCAAATGCAGCTCTTAACATCTCCCGGATCGTTACAAAGGCGCGCACAAACGTCAACCGTTTCTCGGGCCGTTCGATGCACGCGAAAAGATACACGAAAGGCACGATCCAACGTTGGCGGTAACGATTTTCCGATTCCCCAAACATAGGCAAATTGATAGTCCCCATTAATCTTTTTCTTATAAATTTGATTAGAGCATCGCCACCATCCAATTACTTTCCAACGACAAGAAGTGAAACTTTCGAAGACACGATTCAGTCATTAGCGGAGACTACCGTTCGTTTTTCATCAGTGGCTTAACGTCAGCTCGATGTTATTTCTGATTTTCAGCCGATCATTATAAGCTTTTTGCCGTAGAATATCACAGCTAAAATTTTTGTACGCGTACGAAACAGGCACTCAGGCATTTATAAGCAATCTATTCAGCTTCACATTAATTTTCTCAAGATTTTAAAACAAAAAAAGTTGGAATTAATTTTATATGTCCTTGATAATACCTTGTAAAGTCTCGCAATTGCGTCTACTACGGTTTACGTAATGTATCAAATGGATTACAGAAACAAGAATTAAGTATGGATCAGACCGCGGAATAATTCCTCGCGAAGAGAATTAGGAAAAACTAAACTATGCCGAGGGAATCGAGTAAAGTCGCGATAATCCAATTGACGGTGAACAAAAAGAGGAGAGCGTTGTAATGGCGAAATAGAAAAATATCGAGCGACGGCGGCGGAACAAAGTGAAGGGAGGTCTCGAAGAAAGATTAAAGAGGGGATTTTGTAAGTAGACGCGAGAATTTGCTCCTGGTCTGTCGGGGATGGTGGGGCTTCTCGGGGGGGGGGTGGCTTTGTCGGACGAATTCTTGCGGTTTCGGTGCAATTACCTTGACTGAACGTTAACGACGGTTCGTAAATCAAGATAGGATGGAATAGGAGCAGCTATTCTATTGACGGCGAATGCGATGGTAGCCATCACTCAAGCGTAGACTAAATCTCATTTCTAAGCACCTCGTGGTTACAAATGCATTTAGAATAAATTATATGTCTGCATACATACTGCGTAAAGTTGTACTTTTCCATTTAATCTCGATGAGAAGGAGCTATTATTCTTCCGCGACTGCCCCGACGGAGCTTTTCTTGCTTATATGTATTCTTATATATAGGAAATTTATTGCTCTTCTATCAAACATTCTATCGAACGTTGTTTTGTTCCTCTCCATACCCTTCTCAAGCAGCTGACATAAATTCTGACCGGTGGCAAGATGCCAAGGGTAAGTTCAAAGATTGTACGATATACTTATACAATACTTGGACGTTTTATCCCAACCTCATTGGTATATCAACTGGGTTATAAGATTTTCCTTACTTTTTAATACGATTTTATTGATATCGACGGTCTTTGTTAAGTCATTATTTATTAAAATATTTGAGCTTATAAAATGAACAAATAAATATCCAAACAATATGCATTTAACTGTCTTTTTTAAGATTTTTTATTAAAAAGCTTGAATATAAAAGTCTTGAAGGCATTTGAAAATTATTTTTTTCCTAAGATATTTTTTAGAGCATGTACAGTTATTTGTACTATCAATTACAACATTTTATTGATTAAAACGTATATAATCAATTTGAATATAACAGGATTTATAAAAATTATCTGTGAGTTAATACTCGACAATATCTTTTTGTTATTTTAGCGTCATAAAACACAATTAACAGTTTGTTACTAAAAGTTGACGTGTTGATATTTTGGTAGTAAAAAAACGTACACATAAATAAATGCGTTTTTAAAAAAATATTTTTAGTATTTATATTTTCATATAAATATTATAAATATTTGTACATCGTAAACTGATATAAATATTGAGAAATGACTTTTTATATTACTATTTTATAATATTAATTTACGAGATTCATTTTTTGGCTTTATTTTTTTATGCTGACGTTTAAAGATAAAATTTTAAAGATTAAAAAGCCATTATATAAATCGTAATTTTATATGTCTCGTCAACAAAGTGTTAAAACAAAGATCTTATAAATGGAGATATATTTTAAACACGTCAAATAAATGTTCTTCTAATAATTCCATTAGACATCTTCGATATTTTAAGATGTCTAAACGACGTCTAGATGATGTCAAGTCATTATAATTTCTTTGAGTACAAGATATCGTCTTTGAAATAGAAATAGAACATTGTTGTCTAGATAAATGGATAGACAACTCACTGAATCGTCTTTATACTATATACATTCTACAATTCTAGCCTAATGCAAAATGCATGTGCAATTGTAGGTTGACAAAGTGCTCGATGGTAGGACTCATCCGATGGAAACTCGTCGGATTTGAGGATCCAATGACGCTTTGTCATTAAAGTCATTACGTCATCCATCAATAGATAGCTTCTAAGCCTGCTAGGTCCGCAATTCAATGCCAACAAAGCCGCATTTACCGATTGTAGTACGCCTCACAATAACTGGCTATGCAGAAACGTTTGAATGGCAACAATGTCGGACTACGGTTTGTGGACAGGGTAGCTGATTTTCATGTTACCGCATTACTTGACCCTAAAGTTGCTCTATTGGGTCAAAATGTATTCTGTTTTCCTTTCCTATTGCATCTCAGACTAATTAAGTTTTCATGATCGCATTTTTTCCTGATTTCCTGGCGTTTGCAGTTACGTTTCATAGCATTTTCCAAAGCTGCTTTTGTCCTTATTGCTTCTCGTTTGCACGATTGTTCGGTAAATAGTTCGCTTTTATCGCTATGTAAGAAAATTGTGTCGTATTAAACATAAAGTCATAATGCTAATGAAGCTAATCCTTACCTCCAGCATGATATGCTTATTTTTAATTGTGCATTCTGGATCGTAATGCTTCGTAATCCACAGAGAGAACGGCTCTCTCTTTCTCTCTCTCTCTC